CCTTTCTGCTGTCACCCATCCACTCTCTCGGTCTTATTGCATTATCTTGCTCACAATGTCTGCTATTATCGTCACAAGGGAGCAATTCTCTGAATGCGGAACACTAAAAAAAACAACACAAAGTCACATATCTGGCATAAAATGATGAGACAAGAAAACAGAGCCACACGCATTTAATCTTTTTATATATATATGAAAAAAAGGCCTCTTTGTGTTTGGGTCGTACTCTCCGGAGATCTTTCTGATTGGAGAGAATCCAGGTTTATTGGGGCTTTATGCTTCTGAGAAATGGATGGCTGCTTAGTTCATCGCTCTCTTTTTATCTGTTAGTTCCTCCCTTTTTTAAATCCAGCTCGTCTCTTGTCTCATCTGTTGTCCTCTCCTCTGAAGAAGCACGGGGTCAGAGAAGACCGAATGCATCATGAGCTGATTCACGGTGTCTAAACGACTGGCTGTCTCAGTCTGACAACAGGTCATGAGAACAGCTCCGGTCAATAACCTCACTTATGTGCTCACGCATCAGAGAAACAAATCAGCTCTACTTTGGATCATGTTAGCCGTTGGACTTTTAACGCCAAACGTATGAAAACCTCTTACCGAAGCAGCGTGAGTGCAATTCACATGCTCCCTTTCTTCTCCCACACTGAGTAAAAGCTAAACGCTTACAACGTGGCAGCCGAGAGATGCTGTGAAAACGCATCAATAGCCTCTCGTCTCTGAGTTTTAACATTGCTGGGTACAAGTCTTCTCCTTCAGACTCAAGGTGATAACATCGCTGCTTGAGGACAGCTTTTTTTTTTCTTTTTTTCTCGGCAATCAGCCTAATGAATCATCACATATATCATGTCTGTCACATTTGTTAGTGCATTTGTATCCACAGCACAAAATCCACCCCCCTCCCCTTACAGTGTCTCAGATCCTACCCTAGACTAATTATCCGACTACCCTTATTCAAAGCTTTGTTGTTGCACTAAGCTCATTGGATCAATGAAACTCCATTTGAACATCTGTTCCCCAAAACGACTGTGGATGGCCACTCCTAAAGCAAGGCCCTTATAGGAATTAAATGCTGTCCTTTCCCAAGGACACTTTACTTTGTTTCAGAATAATCAGCGCTAAATAAATCATTAATCCTCCCAGGACTCTCTTCTATGTATGAAGTCAGGCGTTGTGCAAGTAGAACGCTTTCAACTAAGAGACGGTAATTGAGTTTAGCATGTGTGTGTAATATTGAAAAATGATGATGTCTGTGTCCTATTTTATGATTTTTTTTTTGTAACTTTTTGTCCACATTGCATTGTTGAGTATAATGAGCTAAAATTAACTCACAATGCAGCTCAGGCAGCATGAATGATGTGTCTGTGTTTCCTTGTGCGTGTAGGTGTGTGTTTGTAGGTGATGCTTTTAGTATATCCGTAAACCTGTCATCTTGACGTATCTCCTCCTTTGCTTCTGTCTTGCGAAACAAGCAGCTTTCTCTCAATCAGCGGACCATAAATGGGACATGTTGCTATTTGCTGGGATATTTCATCTTTTAATTCTTGGTATCTGTGGACTGCTATAGTTCTACATCAACATTTTTTATTACTACGGACATCTGTTGTGACATAGAGAACACATCATCCAGTGGTCCTCCTCTCCCTCCTGTGTCATAATGCATCGAATAAACAGATTAGATGGAGTTATGCATCCATGCAAGCTGGCTCACACATGACTGAATAAACATGCAAGGACACGCATGCTGAAGCTGCATGCTTGCACAGAAATGCACACACCATCATATTTGGAGTAAGGCCACTATAATTTTACTTGTTTATTGCACATTTAATTTATCCATTACACATCAGTTTATAGTTTATATCACCATATCGTAAGTATTATTTACAAAATCAGGGATTTCATTTTGAATCTCTCTCATCCAAAATGCAATTCTATCCAAATGAAGTGATTAGTCTTTGTTTAAAAATAGGCTGAGCCATTAAATTAAAGCCTTTCAGCTTTGCTCACATGGACAAATCACACTAATGGCTGTCTCTATCAATGAAGTTATTCCCCTTGCCTTCAAAATAATAAAAAATATGTTTGTATGTTTGGCTATCAAAAGCCTGCCTGATTTCTAACATGACAAATGTGATTTGCTGTTGGGCTGCAGGGTGCTCAGTGGTTAGCACCATGTTAGGATGCCCTGGAGTTTCCGTGCAGTGTGGGTTCGTTCCGGTTTCTCTGGCTTCAAAACAAAACGCAACAGTTTGCATCAATCTTTTTAAAATTATGCGCTAAAGCTATTTTTAATGATCGCTTACTTGAGGAATGGTAGCCTAAACACAAGTTTTTAAGTTGATTACTCCTTAAAAATGTATTTATTCCAACTAGCATTCCATGTTATTTAAAATGATTTTTTAAGTGCTGTGTACCTGATTACCATAGTGATGAACACAAGCTTTAAAGTTGGCAACTTTTAAATAAAAAATAAGTTGCTCTAATTTTCCCTAGATAGGGGAGGGGGGTTCAAAAAAAGAAAAATTGAGCTATTAAGCCAATTTCATGAAGTCACATCAACTTGAATTTAGTTTTAAATCAACTAATGTAGAAATTTGAGGTTAAATTACACACGATATTAGGTTGATGTAATAACCAACATTTTCATGTCATCACAACCCATCAAAATAATGTTTGCACTTAAAAGTTTGTTTTTTTTTTGTTTTTTTTTAATGAGTAAAATGTTTATTTATTTATCTATTTATTTATTCATTTTACCCTGCAGCCATGCATTTCATTCAATGGTGAGAACTGGTTGCTCAAATTATTTTTAGAGAGTAGAAACTGTCATTTAATCAAAAATGAGATATCAGGTCAAATCAGTCCTTTTTCAGATTTCTGTTTCATGACGCCAAATTATCTATAATGCAGGTAAACTAGGAAAAAAGAGTTTATTCCTTCCAGACACTGTTTTCCACTTTACAGGATGGTGCTTGGTTGTCTGTCTCTCAGTGTAGCCCTGTGATAGACTGGTGACCTGTCCAGGGTGTCCCCTGCCTTCGCCCTAAGTCAGCTGGGATAGACTCCAGCCCTCCCGCGACCCTCGTGAGGATTAAGCGGTGTATAGATAATGGATGGATGGATTTACAGGATGCATTTACAGGATGCATTGCCAAATGTTTTGTGACAGTACATCAAAAGAAATAATAATAGCATGATCTCTATGCATCACAACCAAAGAGTAGATAGATCACAATTGCATATTTTAATGTGTGTGTGTGTGTGTGTGTGTGGGTGTGTGTGTGTGTGTGTGTGTACAAGTCAGTTTATGTGAAACACCTACTTTAGCCATTTGGGTCTAGCGTTGTATCAGCCACTTATGTATTACAGCAGACATGAGTGAATCCATGCAAATGAATCAGGGGACAACACATGTGCTTGGATTGGGCCCAGAAAAATGTTCTCTATTAGTGTTACTAATGACTTATTTATGACTAATGAGACCAACCTGAATCACTCACCCATGGGTCAACACTATGATGAGCATGCAGAAGCGTAATCTATAGTTTTCTTTACTGTTTCCCCCGTTTTACGTAACATCTAAAGCTGCCTGCTGTGCTCATTTCTACACATTATTACAACAGCGACTCAATTAAAATCAAATGATCACTGCAATAATCACAAGAAAGTAAGAGGGGCAATGCAACAGCCAGATGAAATCAATGCTTGAGTTATACTTCATGTTCAAATTGGTCCTTGGCCGTGTGAGCTATACATCTTCTAATGCGCCTGACAGTCCATTTTCATCATAACATCTTCTCCCAGGAGTAAAATAATGTCTGCCCTTCAGGCGATGTAAATGAAGAAAAATGTAAAGGCTTGAGCCGTGGCTCAGGCTGTGGATGGGTGAAGTTAAATGTGATTGAAACTAATTGATGTATGGCCTCACTTCATCTCATGGGATGGAACCCAGAACTGTCATGTTAATATGTAATTACGTCTATTGCGGTCTCTTGTCTTGTGTTTGAATATAGTGTAGATATTATGGATACTTTTCACTTATAATGTTAGATAAATTATCAGTAACACTCTAGTATGTGTCTGTGGGAACTACAGTGAAATTGCTTAAACTCTTAAAATGTAAATATCCACTCGAAAAAAAAAAAAAAAAAAAGGCCCTACGTCCACTTTAGTTTGTATTAATTAGTCTTTCTGAGTGTAACAGTGTTTCAGCTGGGGTCCAATAAAAAAAAGTGCTTTGCTGTGGAGAACAGGCTGATCCTTTTAAATGTAAGAGCCCCGTTTAAGCCCTGAGATTCTGCAATATGCAAGATTCAGACCTGGTGGATGTCAGGTGTGTCATATATGCCAGGACTGGAGTGGCAGGTCCATTTATTAAACTGTCAGGAGAGAAGATGAATGAATGATATGATTACAAGGGTTAATTGAATTAATAAGACATCATACATACATGTCTTTGACTCTTGCATTAATGTCATGAGGAAAAGTAATTATGAAACTAATATAGTAAAGTAGAAGAACAGACAATGTCAGCAGAAATTTCACACAAACATGCCCTAATGATACTTTGCACAGTGCACTTTATATGTGTGTGTGTGTGTGTGTGTGTGTGTGTATTTAATCTAACACTTAACCTGCAAAAACAGCAAATGTTATTAGGAATCTATGGTATAAATGTAAGAGGCCTATTTTAAATTTGATGGACTGCGGTAGATTTTTCAGGATGTGGCGCCCCCCTGTGGCTCCTGCTGGAAACTAATATCAGCATGACACTTGATAAACATCCTAAATATACATTTTTTTAGACAAACAGTCACACAGCGAGAGGAGGCTAATAGGCATGCTACATTCACACCAACATTTTTAACCCAAACTGAAAATATTAAAGGAGTTGAAAATAAAGAGTGGTCAGCCCGTCCTGTGGGCGGCGCTGTTACAAACAGCGGTGGACGTTTCTTAGAAGCACCGGGTCGCTGGTGGCTGAGACCGGAAGCGCGACTGTTGTTTATCCGCCAGTGAGCCTCCTCGTCGTTTTAGCAACGATGGCCAGCGCTGCGGCGAAACAAGGGCCTAAAATTGTCTCCAAAGCATCTGCGGGAGGCGGCGGGGCGGCGGGGGGCAGTGGCGGACCCCCGATAATGCCCCTCGCCTCTCCGCTGATGGGGAAAAAGAAGAAGCCGTTTCTGGGGATGCCCGCTCCGCTCGGCTACGTCCCCGGTCTCGGCAGAGGGTGAGCTAGCTAGCTAGCTAACTAGCCTAGCACTTGCAAGCTAAGTCGTGTCCGCTCGATCAAGTGGCGGATTTAGCAAACTGTCGTTCAAAGACGTCGTTACAACCAGAACTAGCTCTCGCACAGCATCACCTATCGTTGTACTGATTTGATATCTTGTTTCTTTTGTTAAACAAGTTGAAGTATAAAGCGACAGTTACTCTGATTTTTAAACTAAATGGGAACTACTTTTGATTCATTGCATTGAGTTATTAAAGGCAGCTAAAACCTGCTGACAATTGAGCTCTGATCTAAATGATAGCACCTCATCTTCAACAGCAACAGCCCACTAGTACAATGGAAATATAAATATATGTATATATACATACAGATAAGACATACAGATGGATGCACACACGCTTTTATGCATGGCTATGACATACACAATGTACTAGGCGCTTTAGTTTTGCAGTCTGGTTACTAGTCATTGATCATGACTTTCTGTCCTTCTATTTTTACGAAATGATTTTAACATCTTCCTTTTAATCCAAAGTCAAAGGAAACAGTAACTTTGCATTTTAATGCCTGTACCATACAAGCAAGTGGCGATCAAAAACTCTTGAATATGTTGAATCAATTTGCAGCTAATAAAGTTGAAACTGAAACCTGTGCTGGTCACATAACTGGTTTAGATGCCTGAGAAGCCAGCATGGTCAAATGCCAATCAGTCACTATCATAAATCATCCAAACATTGCATATAACGAAGGATATGTGTTAAGGTCAACATTTCAGTGCGTGCTTTTGGCAAACTTCCTGTAAACACTAAACGTCCTCTCTCCAGTGCTACTGGTTTCACCACCCGATCTGATATTGGTCCTGCTCGTGATGCCAATGATCCAGTGGATGATCGACATGCACCACCAGGAAAGAGGACAGTTGGGGACCAAATGAAAAAGAACCAGGATGATGATGATGAAGATCTGAACGACACCAACTACGATGAGGTGCCGATTATTAGATTGCCTCTAGCTGTGTTTTGATTTTTATCAATTCATCCTATCATCAATTTAAAGCAGAACATACAGAAACTCTTTCTGTATGATGAGCAGACATTCTCATATTATGTTCTTGTTTATTTTCTTGTAGTTTAATGGCTACGCAGGTAGCTTGTTCTCCAGTGGGCCCTATGAGAAAGATGATGAAGAAGCTGATGCTATTTATGCAGCACTGGACAAGAGGATGGATGAAAGACGCAAAGAAAGAAGGTCACAAATAAAACTAGTTTATTTACCTACACTACGTTGCAACACAATTTGGATTTAATATTGCATTTGAGTGTTATTTATGTGCAATTTTTTCTGTGAATCTTTAGGGAGCTGAGAGAAAAGGAAGAGATTGAAAAATACCGTATGGAGCGACCCAAAATCCAGCAGCAGTTCTCAGATCTAAAGGTAGAAAATGGCACATTACCAAACCGTCTTTCTTCTCCAACTTTGATCACATTGAAAATACCTCCATTGTTCTCTTCCTGTACTTTGAACATTTCAAATTAATTTTGAAATCAAAAACTTTATGGCCATATGTACAGACAAGTGAATAACACTTTGCAGTCAAGCTGTTTTTTGCAGTCTCTGCATTGTCACCTAAAGAGGAGACAAAAACAAACAAAATGCAGATATATGCTGACTGTATGGTTTTTAAAAACGGAGCAAACTATGCAAACTTGCCATGGTTACCATCTTTTGTTTATAGCAGTATTGCAGGAAAGTATCAGTGGCACAGCAGTCTGTTTAGTTTTGTGCAGTTTATAATACTTGAGTAACCGGACTGGCTGCAACCTGTCATGTAATCAAAAAAGAATGCAAAAAGGCAGCATGGTGTGGAAAAAGCTGTAACTGTGAGCTTTTTGTCAACTATTTACACACACCACATCAAGAATCAAATTTTACTCAAAGATTACCCCTGTAAAGCAACTTGAAGTATATTTTAGTGTCTGTTTTTCTACAGCCCTATCGTCTATTTGGGCTGAGAGTTTTCCTGGTGTGACTGACCTACAACTGACCACTATGAATACAAAACTAAATTCCCCTCCTGAGTACACACAAATGGAACACTAGAGCAGCTGCTGCTCTGTTAATTTGCTGCTCACTCTGTATGTTCTTTTACACGGTGTTGAGATGTTTGACATCTCACTGTGATACTCCCTGCTGCACAGCATGAGTGTGAGGAGTCTGTACATGGGGTGGGTTGAGTCCATGACAATTTCTTGAACCCACCTACAGTCTCTTTGAAAGCAGGTGTGTTTCATTTTTGGGAATGCTGTTCCTGTGATATTGTGTCATGTTCTCATGACCTAGTGCAGGGAGTTGTGCTCCTTAGCAATGCTGTTTTCATACCTAACAGTCTGGCTGATTGTAGGTACACTTAAGATTGTGCACCTGTTTGTGGGGATCCTGAGAGTACTGTTGTCATCCTATCTAGATTATTTTTGTGGTGTTACATGTCCATGACAGGTCATTGCTGATGTGCGTTCCCCCCTGTTCATATTTTGCCTTCTTACTACATAACCATAAAAAGACATGTTATGCTGACATTAAAAGCTGACTCCTTATTTCTTCTTCTTCAATGCCTCCTCACAGAGAAAACTGGCAGAGGTGTCAGAGGAGGAGTGGCTGAGCATCCCTGAAGTGGGAGATGCCAGGAACAAACGCCAGAGGAATCCTCGCTATGAGAAGCTCACCCCAGTCCCTGACAGCTTCTTCTCTAAACACCTTCAGACTGGAGAGAACCACACCACCGTCGACCCTTTGCAAGGAGTCAGTATATTTTACAAATAACTTGCATTGAATACATCCACAGAAAAGCACACATCTCTGAACAACATGGTGTAGTTACAGTCTGCCCCAGCAGGAGTCAGGATATCTCACTGCAAAGAAGCAAGCACCTCAATTCACCTCATGCAGTGTGCCAATGCTCACTTTTTGTCATGCAGCATGCAATTTAAGTGGACCTTCACTTGGTTACTGAGAACAGAAATCAGTTGCTGCTCACATTGATCAAATAAACTCTGTTGTTTAAAATACAGAGTAATACGATAACATGATTGTTGTGCTATGCATACACTGTTGGTTAAAAAGATGTACATTTTTGACATCCATGCATTACATTTGACATTATCGCGTTACTTTCAACTGTAAACAACTGCCCAGATTCAAAAGAATTTTCATATGTATCATTTACAGTGGTGAGAAAAGCACGACTGTTTCATAAGCTGTTAAAATATGTAGTAACAACATTTTCACAGAGACTATAATGCTCCTCTCTATTATCATTGCTCCCTGTCTCTACCAGCTGGGAGGCCTGAACACACCTTACCCAGGAAGCATGACCCCTGGCCTGATGACACCAGGGACAGGAGAGCTGGATATGAGGAAAATTGGCCAGGCCAGGAACACACTCATGGATATGAGGCTCAGCCAGGTAACTGATACAACATCCTGAGCAATTTTCACTTTTACCTTTCTCTATTATTCACACTCTGCTGTCTCTGTTATCTTGACTTGCAGGATTTAATTATTGTTTCTCCTCTGTGTGCCTGTTATCTGTGTTCAGGTGTCTGACTCAGTGAGCGGACAGACAGTTGTGGATCCCAAGGGTTATTTGACAGACCTCAACTCCATGATTCCCACTCATGGAGGAGACATCAGGTAGAGGCACGCTGGCGGCACGAGATGCAAAAACACATCTGTACAAAAAAAGGTGGGTGTGTGTGTGTGTATCTCATGGTTTATTTTTGGCTCTTCATGTTCAGTGACATCAAAAAGGCTCGTCTGCTGCTGAAATCGGTGAGGGAGACCAATCCCCATCACCCGCCTGCTTGGATCGCCTCTGCTAGGCTGGAGGAGGTCACTGGCAAACTGCAGGTGGCCAGGAACCTGATCATGAAGGGCACAGAGATGTGTCCTAAGGTAAATCAGAAGCTTTTTATTGTCAAGTGAGCTTGCACACACAAGAAATTTGGTGCGGTGAATGAGACTGGTCCACAACGTTAACAAGACAGGAATACATATAGAAATCTAGATCTAGATCTAGAAATGAGGATGGACAGTACACTAAATCTGATAATGATGCTTTGGCTGTCAGAAGATTTGTTGGTTTGTTTGTTTAAATGAAACCTGTTATATCTGATGTTGTATTTCCCTGGATGCTGTATTATAGCAGGCATTTCAGTTTGCATTGTTAACTGTTAAATTCAGTGATATTTTATTACAACTGGACTAAGTTGCAAATGGGGAAAAAAGCCCTTTGGCTCCTGTTTTTATATAAGTGTATAAAGGATTCCTTCTTATTAAGTAATTTTCTCTGCCAACCAGAGTGAGGATGTGTGGCTCGAGGCAGCCAGGCTCCAACCTGGTGACACTGCTAAAGCCGTGGTAGCTCAGGCCGTTCGTCACCTGCCACAGTCTGTCCGCATTTACATCAGAGCTGCAGAGCTGGAGACGGATGTCAGAGCAAAGAAACGAGTCCTCAGGAAGGGTAAGGCTGTCATACATCACCTGTACCAATAGATTTTAAACGACTGGATTTAAGATGAGAATTTTTTGTTCATGTGTATTAATTGTTATGCGTATTGCTAGAAGAAACACTGCTGTACTTATGAGCAGAGGTTCACATGCTGTCCCCACAGTGCATGGTGTGAATGAAGATGCTTTGATTTTCCTTCCAAGAGGAAACTCCTAATTTCTCCAGGGTTGAAATTCAAGACCAGTCTAAATCCGTTCATCATTTCATAAAAGCATCCACTCAGAACTAGTCAGTCCATGCACACATGAGATTGCATAAAAGATTTCATTAGGGTTACATTTGGCAGCTGTGGTCCCGGCTTCTCGTAAAGGCCGGCACCCTATTTAACCATGGTGTCAATGCCCCAACATACACATGCACGCACACACACCAATATTTCCCAGCAGCATACCGCACTGACAGAGATGGATGTGGAGCTTCCTCAGAGGAAGAGCTCTCTCTGCCTCTACATGTTCAGTTGCCTCTGCTCTACTTTTCTCTATTACACATGCTACACTCTGTCTTTCCACCCGATGCTATTGCACTTTACTACTAATGCACCACTGATCTGTTAAGTGTTTGTTTTTTTTTGTTTTTTTTGCTTTTTTGTTCGCTGACATCTATTGCATTTCCTTTTTTTGCCATTTTACATGTGTTACCACAGTTGGTGTGTTTTTTATTAGCATGAAAATTATTGTCTCTGCCTGTGTTTTGACTGTAATATATGAGATGTGTCAGAAAAGTTCCAGGACTGGTGTCCCAAAAGACATATCAAAAACAAAAAACAAAAAACAAGAGTCCCCCCCACACAAGAAAAAACAACACCTACAAAAAGAGACCCCACAGCGTGCGCCGCGCACAGTGTACGAAGAGGCGAGAGTTGTGGCAGGACAAGTCGTGGCTGCTTCACCATGACAACATGCCTGCTCACAATGCTCTGAGCATCCAACAGTTCCTGGCTCAGAAGAACGTGCTGGAGCAACCTCCCTACTCACCCCACCTGGCTCCGTGCGACTTTTTCCTCATCCCCAAGCACAAGGGGGGTCATCAAGAGGACCCGTTTTGTAGACGTGGACGACATCAAGATGGCTGTGACGACGGAGCTGCGGAGGATCCTGGAAGAATCCTTCCAAGAGTGCATGGCGGCGTGGCAGAGAAGACTGGGAAAGTGTGTTGGACTCCAGGGGGATGACTTCAAAGCGAAAACTCGTAGTTTGTAGTTTGGATTTGTAATATATCTTTTGTGACACCAGTCCTGGACCGTTTCTGGCACACCTCGTATTTTGTTTCAACAAACTGAACGTCTTAATAAGAAGTGCCAGTGAAATGACTGGACAATTGTTTGTTATCCATTTAGCCCTGGAAAATGTATCCAAGTCAGTTCGACTGTGGAAGACAGCTGTTGAGCTGGAGGAACCAGAGGATGCCAGGATCATGCTGAGCAGAGCTGTGGAGTGTTGTCCTACAAGTGTGGAGGTCTGGTGGCATTTCATGTGTAATTTCTTAACATAAAACATTTCAGATCGGACTGCATGTCGCACATTGCAATGCAACATATGGACATTTTCACCTATTTTATATCAAAATATTTTGTCGTCTCTAGCTGTGGCTGGCACTGGCTCGGCTAGAAACATACGAGAACGCCCGTCGTGTCCTGAACAAAGCTCGAGAGAACATTCCCACCGATCGTCACATCTGGATCACTGCTGCCAAGTTGGAGGAAGCCAATGGCAACACTCAGATGGTGGACAAGATCATTGACAGAGCCATCACTTCTCTACGTGCCAACGGTGTGGAAATCAACAGAGAACAGTGGATACAGGTATGTTCCCATGGCTTTGTGATGTCTCTGATACAAAGAGGCAGAGAGCAGGATTTCCTGCTGTTTATGGCAGAGGAAAGCTTTTTTCACTGAAGAATTAATTGCCTTCCCTGAGGTCAAAAGATGTGAATACAAATCCCCGTCGCTATGGGAAACGATAACAACATCCCTTGAGCTAGCCACCTACACGCTGAAAAGGGCTAGTTTTGACTAAGATTAGGATCGTGCAATCAGCCTTATCTCCTTTTTTTTTTTTCTAGCACCATTTCATGAGCTCCATCGCGTCACGGTGGGGATAGCACTGCCTAAGACAACTGTGATTAGTTCATAGAAATACAGACACACCCCAGCGTTGATAAAGACGTGCAGCTAGACCATTCTCCAGTGCTGACACAGTGCTGTGTACATAGATTTGGCTATGCAAGTCTAAATAAAGAGTGAGCCGCGAGAACTGCAATGAGGTGCACTTGTGTTTTGTCCTCGCCAAAGTTAATGTCAGCAAATAACTAACATTAAGTTGATGTGTTAGCTTGTGTTGCATCTGTCTCGAGTAAATTTTGCGTATCTTGCTAACCTTGCCGGGTAGTGCAGTGCATCTCTTTGCTCGCTTGCAGCCATTTTCAGGGTTGGGTTCTGTGACTTGACCTGTAATTATATGACGCGAAATTGAGTAACTGTGCTTTTAAACCTTGGTGTTGAGGGAGTATACACAGCATCATATGTCTGACGTCTTTGAAAGCATGCCAACATACTTTGGCAAGGCAGCCCCATGTTTTTTCATCAGGATGCAACAGATTGCAAGCCAGCGCTGTGACTGACATTTGATTCAGTTATTTTGCAATCATAGGCTTTTACTAAAATCACTAAGCAGTTTGTTTGTTTTTTTCTGTTGGCTACCAGGCTTTTTTTTTTTTTTTTTTACCTCAGGCAAAGTTTGTGGTTATTGTGGAAGATTTATCTAGGCAATTTGCCAGTACACCAGCACAAGTTAAAATTACAGGATTTGACAGTTCTTAAAGAGAAATTACCAAATTTTTAATTTGTTATTCAGTGCATATAGTCAAATAGGTTTTTGTTTGTATATAATAATGTAGACTATTTTTCCAACAAATAAAAATAAAACATTTCTTTTTCTTTCAATATGAGCTTCTTTTGATGGTCCTCTGGTTTCCAAAAAAATATGTAGTGATGCAGTAAGTCAGCTTCATGAATTGTTATGACCTAGCTTGTGAGCTGCAGCCAAAAATGGAGGTTGACACCAGTGTTTACAAAAATAATGATTTAATTCAATAAATAATGACCATAAGCTACTGTTTTAAATATGTCTAAAAATATAAGCAGCATTCAAGGCGAGCTCTCGCAGCAAGAGTGTGAGGACAATGCAAGACTCCCCAGGCACGACTTATATCCACACCCTCTCAGGTGTGGACAGTTAAGACAAGTTAAGCCTATGCACCACCCCAGAGCTCTTGAATTGCCACTGCAAGGTCGGAAGGTTACAGAGGGGCATAACAATCAATTAGTGGATTCAGGGATTTCTATTCTCAGTGGCAAAAGACATATTTCTGTGATATCAGCTGTGTAAATATGTACATGTAAATGACTTCATTGTTCCTTTGAAATTGCTGCCTTAAATTTGGTGTTTGCAGTTCCTGCCATGACTTTTTACGTTTATCTTCTGCTTTATGCCCAGTCTTTTTACTCCTAAATGCTTCTCTTTGTCCTGCAGGATGCAGAAGAGTGTGACAAAGCAGGCAGTGTGGCAACTTGCCAGGCCGTGATAAGAGCCGTCATAGGAATTGGCATTGAGGAGGAGGACCGCAAACACACCTGGATGGAGGACTCAGACAGTGTGAGTGTGGATAGATCAGTTTTTGACGCAGGCCACATTCAGATCTCAGCGCCTATATTGGTCATTTATATTTTTATTTGCTGTCAGAATTGACCTTAATTTTTGTGATATTTGTTTATATTGCTTCAGTGTGTCGCCCATGGAGCGCTGGAGTGTGCCAGGGCCATCTATGCCCATGCTCTGCAGGTCTTCCCCAGCAAAAAAAGTGTCTGGCTCAGAGCTGCCTACTTTGAGAAGAACCATGGCACCAGGTGACTTGTGTTGATTTCTAAACATGCTAAATGACTGTAGTTACTGTATTACTGCACATGTTTATCTGTTACTGCTTTAGTTCATCACTATACTTAATGTTTTTGTTTGCTCCACTTACCTCACTTTATCAACTGCCATTTTGCTCCTCTTATCAATTCCTCTTCCATCTCTCAGAGAGTCTTTGGAAGCCCTGCTCCAGAGGGCTGTGGCTCACTGTCCCAAAGCAGAGGTTCTGTGGCTAATGGGTGCCAAGTCCAAGTGGCTGGCTGAGGATGTGCCAGCAGCTAGAAGTATCCTCGCTCTGGCCTTCCAGGTGAGAATAATGCATTTATACAAACAGGAGTATGTTACATTCTGTATTGTTTTTATACTCATGTCTGACTTGTCGCTCCTCTGCTTCTTTGCCTCTTATCCACCTGCTGCCTGTCCCTTTTCTTTTTTTTGTTTTCCTAGGCTAACCCCAACAGTGAAGAGATCTGGCTTGCTGCTGTCAAACTGGAGTCTGAGAACAATGAGTATGAAAGGGCCCGTCGACTGCTGGCCAAAGCCCGCAGCAGCGCACCGACAGCCAGGGTGAGTGTGTGTGAGAGAGAAAGTGGGAAAGCAACAGAGATTTCCCCATTACAAATTCTTACGAGGGCTCCTCTGTACAAAAGCTGTTATCTGCTGGATGTACTTTGAAAACTTCCCTTTTAGGTTGCAAAGTTAGACTGCAGGACCTTAAGCCTTTCAAGCGGCTGGGTAATCTGTATTTTACAGTGTACCAGAGTTGTGAATCTGCTTTCTGTGGCAATAGTCCCACTCTGGCGCACTGGTATCGATACGTTTTACATCAACAAGCAACGACTGGTTCGCCAGAGCTAAAGAGAGCAGCGTCAGAAACCAGTAGCATGGCAGAGAATACTAGGAAGCATCAAAGAATAGTGTTTGATGCTCTAGAAAAAAAGGAAACTTGACTTTCAGGGGAACACAAAAGGTCTGCACTGCAGGTTTAATGCATCAGTGTTTTCCTGTGGAAACCTGTAACTAGCTAGTTTTTATCATTGAATTATGCAATATTTATAGTGCTCGTCTCTTTGCTTGCAAATGTTCTACAAAAACAATTTAACCATTTTGGAGCAACACTGAAGCTGCATGCTTTCCTTTGCCTCCCCATGACGACTGTGTATTTTTTAAGAAACACAAAAACTCAGTGTTTTTTTTCCCTATGACAGAGTGATCGTGTGCTGCAGCTAAACCATTATGTTCTACAGAATGGGCAGGCAAAGCGAGACTTGTACTCGAGTAGATTGCCAGTGTATTGAAGCAGTTCTGTCTATTTGTTCTCTAACTATCCTCCTGTGACCTTTTGTTCCAACACATAGTGTTTTCATTAAGTAATGTTAGCATTTAAAGAGCTGTGGCCCGGGTTTCATGGGTGACTTGATTATCAGGTTTGATTCTTTTCCGTTTCAAAGTAAGTTAACTGTGTCTTGTCCTTGAGGTAAATTCTACAACGTTTCCGTCTTTCTCAGGTTCAGACTTGCAAGATTTCCACACTTCAAAACAGTCAGCCTCTCACCCCTTAGGTTGACAGATGCTGTCAGCCATGCTGTTAAACTATCAGTTTATCTATCAGACACAAACACTCCCGTTTGTTTTCCGCATTGTATGCTGACAGATGTGACCAGTGGACCCTGCTTTAATGATGGCTGTACTGATTATCCTGTCAGATATTTTTATGTGGTGTTAATGGAGCAGTTAAGCATTAGACATTTAGGCTATGCCCTTGGAAGTTGGTATTTGATGTATTTGAAAGCTGTAAAGTTATTTGCATTGCATACAGTAGGCTACAATACAAGTATCGTCAATGATTTTCCAATATTATTCCATGTCAAGTATATTACAAGGCCAGAGGAATTTGAAAGGGGAGTTCATGGGTCCTGTTTATATATATTTGTTGTCTGAACTGCTTGTGTGTTTACTTTTAATCTAAACAGGTATTTATGAAGTCAGTAAAGCTGGAGTGGGTGTTGGGAAACATAGAAGCTGCCCAAGAATTGTGCACCGAGGCCCTGAAACACTACGAAGACTTCCCCAAGCTTTGGATGATGCGAGGCCAGATTGAGGAGCAGTGTGAAAATATGGACAAGGCCAGAGAAGCCTATAACCAAGGGGTAAGGTGGGGGGATGTTCGGGGCACAGGCCAGTGTAGGTATTAAATTACCTCTTGAGTGCAAGGGATCTATGGAATTTGAGTTTTAAGTACATTTTGGTCATATTTGTTTTTGATGTAAATGATTGTTATCATACTACCTGGAGTACGTGGTGGTTATGACGTTTTTTTGTCCCCATAGTTGAAAAAGTGTCCCCACTCGGTGGCTCTGTGGTTACTGCTGTCTCATCTTGAAGAGAGAGTGGGACAGCTGACCAGAGCCAGAGCAATCCTGGAGAAGGCACGACTCAAAAACCCCCAGAGCCCTGAGCTATGGTGAGAAAATGCTCAACAAAAACAGTGTGGCATGCCACTTGAATGCAAAAGAAGGACTTGAGCTTGAAAGGTGTCCCCTGTGCAGGAAGTGTAATAAACATAAGCATAAACATTTTTTATCTCTGTAGAACTCAACCACGAAAATGTGCAGGTTAGAGAACGTTAAAGAACATTATTGTAATGAGTACTTTGCTTTCTGACACTAGACAACATGTGGTAAATATGCTTTTATTATTATGGCACAGAAACACAAACTGAAATTAGGAAATAAAATATGTACAAGGTGTGTCAGAAAAATTTCAGGACTGGTGTCACAAAAGATATATTTCAAATCCAAACTACAAACTACAAGTTCTCCCCTGGAGTCTAACACACTTTGCCAGCCTTCTCTGTCACGCCGCCATGCACTCCTGGAAGGTTTCTTCTGGGATCCTCTGCAGCTCCGTCGTCACAGCCATCTTTGTCCACGTCTTCAAAACGGGTCCCCTTGATGACCCCCTTGAGCTTGGGGATGAGGAAAAAATGTGGGGTGATTTGATTGCTCCAACACGACGATGTTCTTCTCAGCCAGGAACTGTCGGATGCTCAGAGCATTGTGAGCAGGCACGTTGTCATGGTGAAGCAGCCACGACTTGTCCTGCCACAACTCTCGCCTCTTCTCACGCACTGAACGAAGCAAATGCCGCAGGACCTCTTTGTAGACGTGCTGGCTGACCGACTGAAGGGGAAAACTCATAGTGTGTAGTTTGGGTTTGAAATATGTCTTTTGGGACACCAGTCCTGGAACTTTTCTGGCACACCTCGTATATATGTATACATTAGATATGTAATTGTATATCTGTAAAATGATCTGTATGTGATCATGTCAACCAGGTTGGAATCAGTGAGACTGGAGTTTCGAGCTGGACTGAAGAACATAGCCAACACATTAATGGCCAAAGCCCTGCAAGAGTGCCCAAATTCAGGTGACTTTACAGTGGTGCTTGAAAATGATTCTTCTTAAAGTATATGAAGAAAATCTAGTTAAATAACACAAAGAAATCATATTTAGTCATTTAGTTAGTGAGGAAAATATTACATATCTGTGAAAGAAAAAGTATAGGACTCTTTGCTTTCAGTATTGGGTTTTGTTGTATAAAGGTCAAGATTTGACTCGACCATTCCAAAACACTTCATTATTCTACCGTCGTGGGAAAAGGGGCTTAGGGCTGTTCTCTTGCTGCATGACCCATTTTCTCTTAAGATTTAGTTTACAGACAGATGTCCTGACATTTTACTTTGGAATTTGCTGGTGTAACACAGAAATAACTGTTCATATAATGATGGTTAGATGTCCAGGCACAGATGCAGCAAATCGGACCTAAATGTTATTTCTACCACAACCAGTTTTCACAGATGGAATAAGGTTCTTCTGCTGGATTACACAGTTGTTTTTTTTTCTCCAAACAGAATTCCTTTAAACCAGAAAGTTCTGTTTTGGTTTCATTCGTTTGCAAAACATTTTCCAATAGCCTTCTGGTCGTCTTTGTCAAACTGCAGATGAGCAGCAATGTTCTTTTTGGAGAGCAGCATTTTTCCCCTTCGTACACAACCATGCACACTGTTGTTGTGCGGTGTTCTCCTAATGGTGGACTCATGAGCTAAATTTGAGAGACAGAGGTTTTCTTTGTGTCGTTGGTAACCTTACAGACAATGCTCTTGGACTGGTCTTTGTTGGTCAATTATTCCTGCGGGGACTAATACTGGCATATATTAAATGGAGGCCTGTTGGTGATTCCAGATGTTTGGAAATCATTACAATATGGCAGGTTTTACAAGTAAAAAAAATCCCTAAAAGTTATATTCATGAAATTCACCTTTAACCTCCTAGATATTTTTTTTTTTTGCCTCTGAACTGATTTATATCTTCAGTCGCAGTTTTTTTTTTCAAGCTCTAACAAACACAACAAAACATAACAAAAGGATGTTTACCTGAATGCAGACCTCTTATAGTCCTACACTGAACTTGCTGCAGCCACATGTTGGAAAAAAAAAAAATCTGTTACATCAGTCGTGGACATTTCCTTCAGGATTGAAATGTTTGAAATTCAAAACAAATCCCACATCAACAGGTCCATTGTCTCCTGTTTATTCAAGAAAATTAAAATGTATAAAACTAGAATGTGTTACACAAATTTTACCCAAACAAAACTATATGTGAAGGTGACATTTTTGTTGTGCTGACAGTATTCCTGTTGTCTGGTTTGCAGATTGGAATACACAAAAACATTTGTTGTTGAAGTTTCATGTGGTTTCAGAGACTCTGATTCTCTATTGGCTGCACTTCCATTTCCTTTCTACAAAGGTATCCTGTGGGCTGAGGCAGTGTTCTTGGAGGCCAGGCCTCAGAGGAAGACCAAGAGTGTGGATGCTTTGAAGAAGTGTGAACATGATCCCCATGTTTTGCTTGCTGTAGCCAAGTACGACTGCATCTTTTCACTTTTTCTTCCTCTTTGTCATAAGTTGTCAAAACCATCTCCACAATTCTGTTTTTACTGAATATTCAGCAAACCTCTAGGCATGAGACTATTTTATATATTTTCTAAATGTAATCCTCTGCATATCTCTGCATAGGTTGTTCTGGAGTGAGCGGAAAATCACCAAAGCCAGAGAGTGGTTCCTTCGGACAGTAAAGATTGAGCCAGACCTGGGAGACGCTTGGGCTCTTTTCTACAAGTTTGAGCTGCAGCACGGCACGGAAGTAAGGATCTATTCACTGGACTTGTGCTACATTGTCAGTGATCACATCTGCTTGGTAGCTAATTACATTGTCAAGCTATCCATAATAGAAATGTAACACAATTATAAATGCATTCTGAAGTCAGATGAGTTGTATGTGCGTTCAGTGACTGCACTGAACAGCTAATGCTCTATGATCTTCCACTGAAAACATTTTGTATCATCAAGAGCTGCTCGGAACAAAAGATGACACCATTAACGAGGACATACAGAACATAACCCTCAGGCAACACATTTTCTCTAGAGTCTGTGCTCCAGGCATCAATTGTGGATTTTGTCTTTCAAAGTACCGGCGTTGTAAGAAGGAAGGAACAGATTTACTGGTAAATGAATGCTTTTTGCTGCTAGTGATGTTAAATGAATGGAATCTACCAGCAAAAATGAGCAGTCATTGTAGATTGAAGCAGAAACCTGTTAATTAGGGATGTCCCATTGCTGTTTTCTTCCCCCCATCTGAGTCATTTATTATTTCGCATCTGCCAATGCTGATTCCCAGTCAGATACCATTTCTCTTCGATAATACACATATCAGGTGCATTGAATTGTTAAAATCTATTCAGTGTATATGCGTGAAAGCTGAATCGCTGAAAAGGATCTAGAAAAAAAAACAACCTTTCTGCATCTGAGCTGTTCCTTAATGTTATGTAGGTGGTCACAAACCTTGTAAAGTTCCAGCAGGTCACTTTCTGAAATGTAATGTCGAAACTGTTAGGTTCAAAACACTGTGAAAACCTTTATTCTCTTCATGCAGAATTGTAGATTAGCTGTAGTACTCTGGCTGTTGTACTGGTTAAGACTGTCATGACAAAAAGAGGCGTTAACTCGGACTACGTGCATTTCTGTGTTGGCAAGTAGAGAGCATTGTGGGCTTTTATGTAGCGACAGGCACCATGACAAAGACTTCTGTGGCACCTAATGGCCTCGACCAGCGAGGATTGGTTAGGAGAGCGCTCTGACACAGTGGCAATGTCTAAAACAGTTGCCTTTGTAGGCCAAGTCATGCATCTGACGACTAAAACAGCAATATCAGTGCGTGACTGTGGGTGACAAAGAATCATCACTGCTCTCAAAACGAGGAGGAGGAAGTCAGCTTCTTTTCATTCAGCGGTGCACAGAATCTCACTCCACTCAGGCTCATGGGAGAGGAGCTCCCCTAGCAAAAGGACTGTCAGTACTTACATTCTTCTGATCACCTATGAAGGGGCAAGTCCTCTCTGTTCTGGACAGCTTGCTCTTGTCTTACCCGGCACTCCTAAAATCAGAGCATTTGCTTTGGCGCATGTATTGTGTTGTGTGTTGCTAACCTGTCTAATCTGCATCCATCAGGAGCAGCAGGAAGAGGTGCGAAAACGCTGCGAGAACGCCGAGCCTCGCCATGGAGAGCTGTGGTGTGCCGAGTCCAAACACGTCTTGAACTGGCAGAAGAAAACAGGAGAGATCTTAGCGCAAGTAGCCAGCAAGATTAAGAACACATTCTGAGACTGAGGAAGTTTGGACTGAAAACACCTGGAGGACTCTGGCAGCCACCAGTCTAGCAGGGAAACAGCCTTGGACACACTTTTTCTCTACCAGGACTTGCCCATCATTGGTCAAAGTATTCACAAAAACCCCTTACCAATTTCATGTTTTATTATTTTACAAATGTAGTTAATTCCTCATACTTGGTGATTTAGTGTCAAAGTGAAAACAGATCTCTGCAGATTTTAAATGTGGTGCTCAAAAAACTCCACGTCTAGTGACTATACAGTAACGACACCTTTGGCAGCAATTATAAGCCAGAGTTTTATGGACATCTTATTTTATGGTCTCTGGTTGCACAGGGGGACCGTCAGTGAACTGCAGTTTTCAAGTCTTCAGATGAATCGAGGTCCGGCTGAACCACTTCAAGCCCTTTCTCTGTAAACTTAGTTTTAATCGTGTTGTAAAGTAAACCTCATCCCAACTCAGGTTCTAAGATGTCCTTTTGGATTTCATTGTATTGTTTTTCTGCCACCATTTAGCCAGTCTAATGCTGCCGTCATCATACTTTATGTTGGAGATGGGGTGTTTCTGGTAATGGGGCTTGTTTACCTTGTTGCCCAAATATGTAGTTTAGTGTGATAATCTCCTACTTTGTTTCAGTCTCCTACTTGCCCTCTGGCAAACGTTGCATTGTTTCTTTTTGCAACTCTGCCATAAAGCCGCGCCTGATTAAATTACCAAAGCAGCCATTGTTTTGTGCACAATCCTGCTCGGAATCGTTCAAGGAAAAAAAAAAAAAACAGACCTATTGTTGTGAAGTGCTGGCTTTGTTCATTAACTCCTGTATGAACTTTCTAGTACATTTATTACTGTTGATTACATCATAGACTGTTTTCCAGACTGTGTATCTCTGTCTTTACTTTGGATGTATGCACAGTGTCCCCCATCTTCACCATGAAACTCTGTAGCTCCTCCAAAGTTATGCTCTGTACCAGACCCCTCAATATTTGAGGAGCCTTTTTTTTTTTAGCATCTTCTGAATTTCCATGTGCAGTATCACAAATGTGTTTAGAAGGTTTCTTTGAGTGCAGAAGTTAGCATCCAGATGTATGTAACTGAAGCTCACTAGCTATCTTACATGTGGGTGTTCTGTTTGTCAGGCAGCAGCAGATACGACGTGGAATCCCCAGTAGCTTATAAACGCAGTCGCTGGTCATGTAGATGCTGTGGTAACATGGTTGTGAATGGGAATAAAATATTAAGAAGGGCAACGTTGTGCAGCTGTTGTTTTGACGAGCTGTTGGTGTTTTGTTTACTCGCCGCAAGCTGTTGATTCAGGCTGTCCTCGGTGGGCTGTGGCGGTATTGAGCGCTGAATTATGAGAATTATTTTTAATATAATGCATCATCATGATTAGGAGCTTTGGCATACAATCGATTTCCATGTGAAGTGAATCCTGATCATTTTAATTCAGTGTGTTACAGAAAAGGAGTTAAAAGCATCAAAATTTCTGTAGTTCTCACTTTGACATTTTTTTTCCCTGCCTGTTAGCGTCAAAATTCAAATTTCAGTCATTTTGGTTTTAAAACTTGTAAAAGATAAAGGAAAGAATATTTTGAACAGACATTGTAAGAGAGGAATATACAAAACACACCCTGGTTTGTTCCACCTTGAGGCATCTAGTGATCAGTTGTTTTCGTCTGTGGTTGCGCTCGCTGAAAACATCACATTTTGAAGGAGTTTTGTTTTTGTGTGTTTCCCCTATGGATATGTTAGAAGTCCAGATTTCGCTACGTCTGCTCAACAAGATGTGACAGTGTATATAAACCCTTTGTCGGGTGCTATTACATGAGTTCTCATGTTGTAGTGATGATTTCACCCGTTTTCTTTTTTACTAGCTTGCTTGAAATGTGTTTAAAATACTTTGCAGGCATCCAATAAACAAATAATAAAATGTGTTGCACCACTCCCTGTTTTTCCCAAACCATTAGCATTGCTGTTTTTTTAAATGTCTAATTCTGAGTGCATGGCAAGTCTTTTGGTTTATGCATTCCCAGACCTTTCAGTCCAGGGGTTGGAGCTGCACAAGCCCTCCCATGCGTTTCCCATGCAGGGTCTGCGTTTTGGTTCTTGTCTGGGATTTTCTTGTGCTTTTCTTAAATTTATTTTTTTAAGGCTGTTTTTTGAATTAGGGTCACTGCATGCTGGACTATTTCCAACATCCTAACTATTATAAAAGCAGTTTGTAAGAGTTTGAGAAGGCGCTTTGGATAAATGCCCCACTGAATTCACACTCCTCCTCGGTGTCACGTCTTCCCAGCGAAACCGAAAGGATGGAGGCAAGTGATTGATTGCAGAATTTTCCTCGACTTGGTGGGACTTGAGTTTGGTGAAATCCTAAGCCCAGCGTCAGCAGTGCATGACGGGGAAGGAAATAGGAGCAGCAGTCAGTTTGGTGATGTTGGAAACCACGGAGCACCACAGCTTAAGTCTGTCCACCGCAGTCTTAACTTCTCCACTCGAGAAACTACCAACATACTGAAGAAGAAAAAAAAAACAAAAACGAAACAACTTTGGATACAATGAGTGCAGCCAGATCAGGAGTAACTCCTCGGACCTCCCTGTCACAGATGACTTTGCTCGTCTGAGGATCCTACAGAAAAACATGATAAATGGTAAGTGCGGCTTTAACGCGTCGTGCGTTTTTACGCAACAGACGATCGGCACCGCTGATGATGAAAACTTTATTGCTGACAATAAATTGCTGACAGATGTTTTAACGCAGGTGTGCGTCCTCTCCAGCTGGAGCCTATTGAGCAAACCTCATGTAAGGTGAACAGTTTTTATCACAATGTGTTACAACACCTCTTTCTTTCATAGTGTCTGACCGGATCTCTACTCCGTAGTGTCGTGGTGGTTCTCTTGTTGGCCAACTCTTCTGGTAAACGTGGATGTAACTACAAAGAAATCCTGAGTTCCTACAGTGAAGTCATCTTCGTTGAGCTGCAGAATCTGGTATGACTATTAACAGTGTATCTCACTTTATGAAAGACTTTTTTAAAAAAAAAAAGAAAAAAGATTGTTTTCTTGATACAGTCTTTACTTTGTATTTTATTAGCATTAAAACAGGTGTTGTGCCCAAAACTGTTGTATAAGCTGCTTTTACATCAAACAGGCATATACACACAATGTATGTCTGTGTAGTTGAGAAACTTCTTACAGCCGAATAAATGGATCAAGAAAAGTTTGCAGTTTATAATGTGATTAGGCATGACATTTAGGATAGACAGTAGCATAGTATTGTTTTCAATGTTTAGTCCACATGTGCTTAGTTTGTCTAATATCCTTGTTTAGACATGATTCGTGCATAGGTTTTCTATCTATATGATTCATTATCCGATGAATGAAATCAAGTAATTTCGTTGCATAAATGACATTTCAGTCACAATGTATGGCCAGTGTAAAACTGCATTATATAAGTTCAACTATCCTTTTAAAGCTATTTCAATGGGATTGGTTCTAATCCAGAGCAGGTAAAATAATGCAGAGACATGAGGATAATTGCTCCCATGAACGGCAATCTGTATTTGGCACCACATTTGCATGCCCTATGTTGGTTTATTGCAGTCAGCTACAGCTGTTGTTAAACATGTGGGAACTCTGCTTTAATACCCTGTGACAGGCCGCCCTCCAGTGTTTGTTTTGCAAGTAAGGCTTGTGGCTCTTTTAAATTCTTCTCTTTTGAATGATCGGCAAAAGCAATGTCTTACATAACTCCATATTTGGCTGTTTTGTTTTGTTTGCAGAATTTGACAGCTTCCTCTAATACTGCCAAAGAGAGAGACCCTTGCCCTTCAGGAAAGGTACATTGCACAATATTATGTGCACTTTCAGCACCATGGACAGGGTAATGTGAGTGAACCTGTCACATAATCAGCCTGTGCAACTGTGTCACATTTAAGATATGGCAAATACAGAGGAAGATTATTTTTTCCCAGTGGCAATTATGAAGTGGGGGATTCAGCTTGTTGTGTAGGAATACAATCGACAGATGTGCCAGATGGACCATTTCAAATGTCGTCTCACTGCAGGCGCGCCGCATCCTGGCTTCTATCTACGGTATGACACAGCAGATGCGGTGTCAGAGGGGCGGCAAGCAGCGGTCGGACCTGGAAAAGCCGGTTGAGAGCATGGAGCAGCTCATTGTTCACAAGTGCAGTCCTGGTTATCTGGTAAGAAGAAGAACTTTAACCACCACCTTCACTCCATATAGAAATAATGTAAAAATAATGAAAATAATCTTGTTGTGTGCTTTCAGGGGAAGAGAGTGTCTTGCTCAGCTGTCCAGAAAATAAAGGGAAAGAAGAGAAAAAGGATCAGATTAATCAAAGTTATCAAGGCTCTAATCACTTGTTGGCAGAAACTTCAGAGTGTCTATATGCTATCCAAGTAGGAAATGTTGTGTCTTCCTGTTGCCTGTAAACTTGTGTGCTACTTTCCCATGAAGATATCAGGGGAATTTTCCTGCAACAAACAGAGGACACCACACGATCACTCTGTTTATATAGTTGTTTTTTTTTGTTTTGTTTTGTTTTAATCATGGATGTTTACCGTTGTCAAGTTCTCATAGTTTTGTTTATTAAAACTATACCAGCTTTTGCATGTCAGCATTGTTACTTGTTTTATGGAATAGTTTTATAGTAACCACAGATAAGCTAAAACAATTATCCACAATGCATTCAAATACTCTTAGAAAATGCACATTTTCAAGGTCTCTCCTGTTGTAACAGCTATTATGTATTGTGTTTGTAAACCATATATTGTGACACACATGAAATGTTAGCGTCTGTGACTTATAATACAAATTTTAAATGTCTGATTTATACAAGTTGAAGTATGTGGTTGTTATTCTTGGTGATATTATAAATAGTACTGTTAGTAGTAGCAGCAGCAATAGCAATAGTAGTAGCAGAAGAAGAAGTAATAATAGTAGTATTAGTATTAGTAGTGTTAATAGTAGTAGTAATAATGTAGCAGTAGTAGAAAAAAATAGTGGTACTTTTTGTAGTAACAGTAATATTAAGCTCTTAAGATGTGGCATCCACATACGTGGACATCACATTTTTGGTTATATTACCATGGTAATTAATTTTTGTTATAAAAAAAATTATTATTTTATTGTTATTGTTTTTATCATTGTTATTTGAAAATGTTTTTAATTTTTAAAAAGATTTCAATACATATCTTTTAACATATTTAAATTTTCTTTATATATATATTACTCTCCTCGCTATTTGATCGGATCAAATAGCAAAGAGAAACAAAATATTCATATCAAACAAGAGCTCGGGCCTTAAGAGGTTAAAGGTAGCAGGAGTACTGTTAGTAGTATAACAGTCGAGGCAGTAGTACTACTAATAGTAGGAGTGTCAATAGTAGTTGCAGTACTAGCAGTCATAGTGGAAGTACTGGTGGCAGAAAAAGTAGTACTAGTAGTAGTTGCAGTAGTACTAGTAGTAATAGTAGTAGTAGTGTTTAGAGTAGTAGTAAAAGTAGAATGAGTAGTAGTGTCAACAGTAGTAGCAGTACTCGTGTTCATTAGTAGAATTAGTAGTAGTAGTAGCAGTAGTAGTAGTGGTAGTGTTAGTAGCAGAAGAAGCAGTTAAGAGCAGAGTACGTTTAGTGGTAATAAAGTAGAAGAAGTATTGTTAGTAGCAATAACAAGAGTAGTAGAAGTGTTGTCAGTAGCAGCAACTATCTATCTATCTATCTATCTATCTATCTATCTATCTATCTATCTATCTATCTATCTAGTACTCGTGATGGGGGTATACTGTAGGTATATCAACAAGAGCAGACCTTTGTTCCAAGACAGTAGTTTTTTTTTAAACATCTTTTGCTCTTCACATAATCAGCGAGCACCACTGAGACAACAGCGCACCTCCTCACTGAGGCGGACACCAGAGAGCGGAACGCCTGTAACACTGCACTGTTTCTGCTCGGAGGAAAACACGTGTTACACACCTTCCACTATGCACCCAACGAATTCCTAACGACTGGAAACATCAGCAGCTAGCGTGAGGCGAGTAAGGTATTTTACCGGCAAATACGCATTACTACGAAGATACTAGTTTTAAACCGGGTTTAACGTCACTGGAATGTTTTATTTTCGTTGACGGACGTAGTTTTTTTGAAAAATAGATCAACCGCACCCAGCATTAAAAAGCAGCAGCACTCTGTTAGCTGTTACACATTTCGAGTAAATGCTTCAGAATGTTCTGGACATGAAAGACTGACCGAGCAGGTGGGAGTGAAGTTCAGTTGTTGGGTCTTTTTGTTTCATTCGGTTAGTAGGGTTGAGTAGCTTGTAGAGACATGGCGAGCAGCAGCAGCAGTGTGGACATGGATCCAGATGTTGCTCGGAGGCTGTTTGAGGAAGGAGCGACCCTGGTGCTGCTGGGCGTCCCTCAGGGCACAGAGTTTGGCATAGACTGCAAGAGTTGGCAGGTGGGTCCTCGCTTCAGGGGTGTTAAGATGATCCCTCCAGGCCTGCACTTCCTGAACTACTGCTCTGTTAACGCACCAAGCTGCGGAGGAGAAATTGGCCCCAAGACAGGCCACTTCCTCACTCTCAAACCCAGGGAGATCTTACTGGGTAACTGGGATCCTAAAGAGGAAGCTCTGGACTTCTCAGCCTCCAAGAATGAGGAGGAGGTGAGCCGTATCCGGGCGACCCTGCGAGAGCTGGATCCTTACCTGGGCCCCTATCCCTACGAGGTGATGAGGAAGTGGGTGTCCCTCACTGACCGTCTCAGTGAAGAGATGGCCAATAACCTCCAGCCTCTTTCGGGTCGAATATGTGCCTTCGCCGACGTCGTTCCTGAGGTTGAGTTCAGACACACCAAGGACAGGGCAGAGCAGCCAAGGAATGACACAGCCTGTCAGAGCATGAGAGAGGGACTGGACAGGCTCCCCAGGATGAAACAGAGGGAGGGAACAGAGGTGCGTTTCTCTGTCATCCCCGAGAAGACCTACCCTCCTGGGGCGACTCCGGCCGAGATCACCAAGTGCAGCATGGACCTGAGCTATGCCCTGGAGACTGTGCTGGAGAAAAACCACAAGCAGCAGCCCCTCAACCTGCTAGGTGTGTGCTACATGTACAAATCACAGGTCATCATAATAGCACATTGTTACATTTGATATATAAAAACGACCTAAATTTAATCTCTTCCAGGTGAGCTGCAGTTTGCCTTTGTTTGTTTCCTGATTGGAAACGTGTACGAGGGCTTTGAGCACTGGAAGAGCCTGCTGACTCTGTTGTGTCGCTCAGAGGAGGCCATGCGGAAGCATAAAGAACTCTATCTGGGGCTGATCGCTGTGCTGTACCACCAGCTCGGAGAAATACCTCCCGACTTCTTTGTTGACATCGTGTCACAGAACAACTTCCTGACCTCCACACTGCAGGTAGATGGATAAAAATAAACTGCTCAAATACCAGGAAAAAAGTGTCAAAGTACAATAAAAATAGAAAATGTTTGTGAGAGCTTCATCATGAAACACAGACTGAAGAACTTCAGCTTCCAAATTTTTTATTATCACATTTTAAAGTGCAAGATAACGAAAAATGTAAATACTGCAAGTTTGTTGTAAGCGTTTTTTTTTTTAAATTACATTATTTACTTGTACTTTTCCTTCTGCAACATGTCAGAATATCTTCTATTATAAAGTCCTAGTATTTCAAAGCTGCGGCCCTATTTCTTTTGTAATGGGTCTCAAAAAAAAAAAGGTGTTTTAACAATCTCTGATTCTATTATTCAGACTGACAAGTACTTTTTGGGTGTTCAGGTATAAAAAAAAAAATAAAGCTTTTTTTTTTGTTATCCAGAAAAGTAATGTTATCTCTGTTTCAGAGCCACAGAGCTGTTCTGACTTGCTGGGAATTCCCAAACGGTAGCAAATGATATGACAAATAACACATTTCAGTGTAAAGGCTTCATATGTTTCGTAAAACCTCACGGAGAGCAATATTTTCTTTCGTAGGAACCTCAGTTCACACTCACACAGTTCAACACATTCACTCCTGGAAGCTGCCCAGTATAATCCTCCAGGCAGCCACTATCCCATCTATTATTTGTTTTAAAGATCAAGTTTTTGAAAACGCTGTTTTATTCAATTAGTTTTGCTCAGGATTAAGTCATTATAGTAAAAGAAACGGACAAACCTATCCAAAGAGTCCTGCTAAACAAGCTGCAGTAGCAACAAGGAGAAACATCTACAACTGCGAAAAGTTTGATCCCATTAAGCTCTGATTGTGTTTATTCTACCATAAACATAAATATTTCACATGTAATAAGAAGGACACAAATGCATTTTCTTTCATTTGCCAGTGTATAAAATAGGTCACCTAACATCACTATTATATGTCTGATATCTGAGGACTGTTGTCAAGTAAATCAGGTTTATTTTCATTTCTGATTGTTGTGGCCAAATGATCTGTGTGAAACAAAGAAATGCCTGCAACAACGAATCCACAGCAGAGTCAAAATCACCTCTGTTGTTACTGCTGTTCTGGAGTTTCACACTTATGGTTACAAACCATAACTATGTCTAATTTCTTCTCAGGACTTTTTCCAGTTTGCCAGTGGACCCAGTGTCGACGGCACCCTGCGTAAGAGAGCAGAGAAGTTCAAAGCCCACCTGACAAAGAAGTTCCGCTGGGATTTCGATGCAGACTTGGACGACTGTGCACCTGTGGTGGTAGAGCTGCCTGAAGGTGTAACAGTGGACTGAAACTGCTCCGCTGTGGATTCAGTGTACAACGCAGGGACACAGAAGGGGAGCTGTGGAGTACTTACTGCTGGGCACAAAGATTCTCAGAAAACTTGAGGAAACTTGAGCTGCAGTCGTCCAAATGACCTAGTTTCACTAACACCAGTAACGCTCTAGAAGAGAGGGGTGACGTTGCTCCATGTGGGTGGTCGAGTACAATACACATTTTTTGCCTGTTATAAAGAAAGCACGTAACTTATAAATCTGAAGTGTTACAGCCATGGCAGAGCTGCAGTGTAGTAGAGGACAGTGGTGCCCTCTGGTGGTGATATTTTTAAGTTTAACTCGTGCCATCTTTAAAATCGATCCCCTTGTGCTTTTAATCTCAGTTTAATTTGAAAACTTCAATGGTAGCAGCTTTGACCAATGCCAGATACAAACCTGTTATCTCCTACCATATAGTTATGTCATTTCATGCTGTCAACAACAACTAATATTATAAAAAGTCTACATAAGACGTGCAGGGTTTAGTGAGGGGAAACTAAAGGTGTAGAGTTTTGGAAACTAAAATTTTATAACTAATAAAGTCACTAAATATTGTCATATGTTGTTAACGTTCTGCTTTGTAATAAGAAACTGGTTGAAATATCAACTAAACATCCTGCCAAAACTTTTACTTTTCTGTGAATTTTAATAGAAACAGCACATCTGAATCAAAGTCGTCGTACAATGTTTGTGTCAGCGTCATTCATTCATCATTACTCCACATTTTAATACCTGTCAGGAGGTGCTGTCTCCCTGCCCTCCTCTAGATGGCGTACATGGGCTTTTTTGTGGAGATTTACAACTTCCTTAAGACTGTCACTGTTCAGATGTCTTCACACAAAAGGAAAAGTTGCTGTTTTTGGTGCTGGAATAGATACAGGAGTAGTAGTTGCTGGTTGGGCAGTGGGTAGTGGAGTCAAGAGTGTCAGAGTGGAAGTGATCTCTGAACTTTATCTGATCTAAAGACATTGTTTGTGAAATATCAGAAATGAGAGTATGATGCTGCATCAAATCGGTAACAAAGTTACACACAATTTATGATCTTTGTGTGTGTGTGTGTGTGTGTGTGTCTTTTTCCAATCATGATGGATGAGACAGACCTTGTGTTTTCCTGTCTATTCACTCGTTCCTTTCCCTTCTGCCCTTCATGAACCTTTTTTTTTCTCCAGCTGGACTTGTCTGCCTTGACGTGCCCCGGCTCCACAAACCGATCTATAACCATAAAGCTGCTGTGAAAAGGACAAGAGCCGTCTAATGCAATTATGTGAATCAATAGAGTCTGGGCCTGTTGATGAAGATCCAAATGCCAATACAAAACATCCATTCTCTTCCCAGAAGACAGATGGTATTGTGAAACGAATGGTAATGGTAGGCTTCACGATGAAAACTCCCCTTCAGAATATTTACGCACACCAAAAAGAAGATCAATTCTGTATTTGTGGTCCACTGTGAGACCACTGGGGCCCTGCGCTGGTTGTTATTTTCCTTTAGAATGCAATTAGATGGAGAAAATGGCTTGGAACACATGGGTGGAAACATATCACAACACAACATGGGAGGAAATGTACGCCAGTGATTTGTAGATACGTTTTCCTCTCTGGGGGTGAAATGCTCGACATTGTCGATGAAGACGGTCGCAGAAATGGCTCTGCTGGGACGTCCTTGGCATTCCAACCCTTCCATTAGCGTCGGAATTACAGTGTACAGCAAGTCAGCGGACAACTCATTAAATGTCCAGCCTTTCTCCGCGGCGTGCACCCCTTCACCCTTGGAGAACGCTCTCCTGCCATGTTCCTGGTATGGCAATCATTTTCCTTCTAATCTTTCTTATTTGTTTTGTTTGGTGCGGCCACCCTGGGGAGTGAAGCGCACTGGGAAACAGGCCGCGTTGATTGTGCAGAACCTCAAAGCCTGGCAGGCCCTGTCAGTCACGGTGGAGCTCCATTAGATGTGAGCTGGCCATTTCCACGGGGCTCGCAGGCTGTTCACTCTGCCAGTGTAAACACAGGCCCCTCTGTTTCTTTCCCAGTCACTCACCCGCTCTCCTCCCCTCTTCACGGCAGCAGCGACGATGGAGGTTAATGTGTGTGTGTGTGTGTGTGACTTCTTGGCCCATCGCTGACTGGTTTTAAGATTAATTGTCGACTAAACAAATCAGGTGTTTGATCATGAGTTGATTCAATTATTAACTGAGCTGAAATGGGTCAATTAGATCAATTTTCTTTCCCGCTACAGTGGACATTCAGAAATAAACTGGAAGATGAGTCATTCGACAGCTGTTTTTGTATCTTAACATACTGTATTTGGCGGATGTTTTAATTTCAGGTTGTCATGTTCTTTGGTCTCCCTGTTTCCATACAGATTAATCGTTGTGTTTTCTCTGCCTGCCATCTGTCTTTCACTCATTTAAGTGAAGTCTGTTTCTCCCTGAGACCGCTTTGATTAATAGCAAGATGTGTAAATATAATAAATAGGTTGTCAAAAGCAAGTGGGCCTTCGGTAATTGTTTGTGTCCTAAGATTACTGAGAAGTTAGTCCAGGAGTGGAAAGAGTGTTTACTCTACAACCTTTTTCAATGTGTGGTAGAGATTGCATAGATAAACCTCTGGCGGTGTGACACAGTTTAAAGTCTTTCTTTTCAGATGTATCAGTGAAAACAAATAATTCCAGATGAAGGTCTCGTAAACTAAATATGATGTCAGAAAAAGTTTGTACTTGTCCGTCTGCAGGTTCTGTTACCCGTCCACACACATTAGTTTCCAGCTGCTACTTTCTCTCACCTTTTCGTCTTGGACTCTGGTGTCTGACTCATAAGTAAGCGTATGTTGATCTGTAATCCCCCTCTGCTGCAGCACCAGCGGGGCTTCACATGTCTGACTTGCATGACCCAAATGTGAGCCAGGCACGTGTACATTTTCCCAGGATGCATATATGAGCGTGCGTCATGGGCGCGTGCACGTTTTGAGCTCTGGTGCCCAGACATATGGACGTGGCGGGTGGGGGGAGCTGCGAAAAGCAGGGATGGACGAGGTTAAAAGTCCCTCCTGGAAATTTCACACACAT